AGCAGTCAAATGCCTTAGGCACTACGCCACCAGAGCTCCTGTAATGAGCTATAGGCTTGAAGATTGTCTGGAAGGACACACAGTGGTTGCATCTGATGACTAAAGGTCTGGAGTTGGAAGAAAGACTAATTTTCTTCTGTATACTCCTTTGGACACTTTGCTTTTTTTTTTTTTAAATCATGTGCATGAATTACTTTTACAAAAGCTAGTTAACAGCTTAAAATAATTTAACATAATAAAAATAACTTTCAAACAATTAATACAAAAATAAAAGGCAAAGGCTGGTTCTGCAGCCAGGATGGAATTGGAAGGGAAAATGGCATGTTGTTGTGTCACACCACCCTTGGGGGGGGCCTGGGAGGGCAGGGGCAATGGCCAAGTTTGGGTAAACAGAGTAACCCAGAGTGAGGAGGCCCACCAGAAGGGACTAGATCTCAGGCTTTCTGATCTTAATTGACAGTGATTTGAAGAGAACAAATAGACAAACACATCCTAGATCTTTTAATATCTAATCATTAGCCAGATGGGCCTGGCTAATGTTGCATGCAGTTCTCTCTGAACAAAAAATGGAGGTAGGCAAACTTTTCATTTCCTCTCCCAATTCCCCAGTGGTGGCTTCTGCCATCCTAATGGGGGTACTTGTTGTTACTTGCTGTCCTTTCAGAAGCAGGTCACCAGGCCCATCTTCCGAGACATCTCTGGGTGGATTTGAACCAGTTGGTTAGTATGCTTAACCTTAACCAGCTGCTACATGCAGGGGGATCATAAGGAAAGCTGAAAATAAGCTCACAGTTCCTGGGCCCCTCAAGGAAAAGAAGCAAAGAGCTGAAGAGCGTCTAACAGTCCTTGGGCTCTTGACTGCTAAACTAAATGCTGACAGTGCAGACCCACCCAGCATATCCCTGGAAGAAAGGTCTGGCAACCTGCTTTGGTAAAGATGGTTGTTGTTAGTTGCCATTGAGTCATTTTCAACTCAGAGTGATCCCATGTGTGCAGAGTAGAACTGTTCCATAAGGTTTTCAAGGCTGTGACCTTTAGGAAACAGATCACGAGGCTTGTCTCCCGAGGCAACTCTGAGTGAGTTCTAACCACCAGCCTTGCGGCTAGTGGTTGAGTGCTTACCTGTTTGTGCCACCCAGGGACTCCAGGTACAGGAATTAGCAGCCAACAAGATTTGGGGTGGGAAATGGATGAGAAAGGAATAGGAAAGAGTCAATCATTAAAACCTTAATATCCTCATCTCAAAAACTGGGATTGATAGTACCTACCTCTTAAGAGTTATAAGAATTAAATGAATTAATGAATGTAAAGCCTTTAGAGCCATGCCCAATGCACAGTAAGATCTGGGTAATTGTTTGATGTTATCATTAATTTATTCAATAAATATTTAAGTTGCTAGATGCCAGTGTGATAAACAAAGCAAGCAAACTGGGTCTTTGCTGTCAGTGAGTTTCGGGGGGGGAAACAAACATTAAATACATGTACACTAAATGAATACTTGATTACAAATACTACCTAGTATTAACAAGAAAGAGAAGAGGATGCTGAGAAAGAATTAAGATGGAGGTCCTCTTAGGGACTAAGACAGGAAAGTCTTAAATAAAATTACATTTAATCTGAGACCTGAAGCATATCAGCTAGGACTCTGTTTCAAATGTTTTAGAATGTCCAAAAACTATTCAAATTATTCAAAAATTTCAAATTATGAGAAAACACATCAGTTAGCTTAAGCATAGGAAGGAATGTAAATGTACTGAAAGTCCAAGAGTAGAGCTAGCTGGCTTCTGAATCTTTGGTCTCAAAAGTTATTACACCTCAATCTTCTTTTTCTCTTCCTCTCTCTCAATCTCTCTTTTTCTGGAGTTACTCTGTTGGCTGCGTTCTCAGGCAGCCTCTTTATGGTGGAAAGATGGTGGCCCACATCTCCAGGAATACAATTCTGGGTCTCCGTCAAAGAAGTGTACTTGTGTTTTCCCATAGTTCCTCAAAGTCTCAGAATCGCATTGTCTTCACTTGAGTCACATGCTCATCGCTGATGAGGACTGTGATGTTTTTTGTTTGAAACTGGAGCTGAAATGATAAATTCTTCAAGAAAAATCAGAGTTTTGTTTTCCTTTGTAGGAGTAGTAGATTATAGGGCAGACAAAAAGGTTAGCTGTCCACTACATAAAAGATAAGAGGGTGAGTTAGCTAAGCAAACAATGAGTGGGAAAAAAAATACTCTAGGCAGGGAGAACACAGTGTATGAATCCCTGAAGCAGAGGAAAAAGTCTCTGCCATCAAGTTGATTGGAACTCATTGTGACCTTATAGGGCAGAGTAGAACTGCCCCAGAGGGTTTCCAAGGATGTAAATCTTTACAGAAGCAGACTGCCTCATCTTTCTCCTGAGGAGAGGCTGTTAGGTTCAAACTGATGACCTTTTGTTTAGTAGCCAAATGCCTCAGCCACTGCACCACTAGAGCTCCTTTGGGGCAGAGAAGAAGTAAAGAAAAGGAAGGATGGCCTGTGTAACTAGACCACAGGTTGGAAGAAGTATAGTGACAGGAGATTTAGAGAAGTACTGCAGTCAAATTATGTAGGTCTTATTAAGGGTCTTAAATGTTAAGAGTCAAGAAAACCCTGTGGAGCTGTTCTAGTCTATAACATGGGGTCACTGTAAAGATTATTTATTTATTTATTTAGAGCCTTGGAATAGGACTGGGGGTGGGATGGGAAAGAGGCTGTGAATGCGGAAATAATTGCCAGTCCTAAACAGGACCCACGGGCATAAGAAGATGAGCCCGTCCCACCTCTCAGAAAACAAAGATGAGTAACAGCTTCCTAAAATATTAAAGGAACTTTCCATAAGGGCTGCTAAATTTGGCCTGCACCTTTACTCCCCAGACACATTTTTTAAAATTAATAAATAAAGAGGCAAAGCTAGAGCCTGGCTTTAGAGGTGAGCTGAGGCCGCCGCGCCCCTCCCCCTTCCCACACAGCACTCCGCGGCCCCTCCCTCCCCTCGAGATTCTCTTTGGTTTTCTTGTGAGGCTCTCCCGGCCCTGTGGAGCCAGGGACCTCTCCACAATTTCCATTTTCTAAGTGACAGCTCCACGCAAGAGAGGGAGATGTTGGGGTGCTTCTTCTTGGCCTCATTCTTGTCCCCACGGCTTATGTCCTGCTTGTCCTAAAGTGATGATTGCAGCAGAAGTCTTGCTTAGCTAGGTCTAGTCTCAGGCTTGCAAACCCACCAGAAGATTTAGAAACCTGTGACTAAGAACCTCTCGGTCCCGTATTTCACCTCACTTCTGCTTAAGAAATTAAATGTGAAGTTTTTCATAGAGCAATTGAATTTCCTTTTAAAACAGTGGACTTCTGTATCTATAATTTACTTAAGTTAAATCTTAAGAGTACAAAAAGAAAAACACTTGTTGGACAAAGCCCTGGAATGATGTCTCAGACAGGGATATGGAGTTTAGTCACTGCACAAGTGAAGAACGCTCACTATGTAGCAGGCACTGTTCTAGGCACCGGGGATTCATCACACCCTTGTACTTACAGATCTCACATTCTAGGAGACAGACAACAAACAATAAACTTAATGGACCAATATATTATGTAGCAGATGAAAGGGTGCTGTGGAAGGAAGGAGAGGCGGTGAGGTAGCTTGGAAGGCCTGGGCTGGGTCAGGGTCTCAGAGTTACCTATGTTAGAGCGAACACAGCAAGTGTGACCTACAGTGGAGTTGGCAAGTAGAACCTGCACAGGAAAGTTAATTCTCTTCCACTTGTCTGTGCCTAAAAATTCTCATTCATGAGAGTTTGAACGTCAGTATTTACACCCAGCAAGCAAATGACAGCTGAAGACTGAACACAGGTGAACAATATAAGGAAACCACCATCACAGTTAAGAGCTTCTTTTTGGTTGTATTGCAGAGGGCAATTTTAAAAATCAGATTGAAGAATATATTTTATACCTTTAATTTTGTACAAGTGGAAAGCAGATTTCACCAGGAGAAAATACAAGACTCTGTAAGTTGCACCTGCCTGTGAAATTCAAGATCATAGGGATTGAAGTGAGCTCAAGAGTAGTTTTTAAAGTATATCTTGATCTGGGTGAGGGTTAGTTACATGGGTGATACATCTGAAAAACTCCATTGAGCTATTGGTTAAGATTTGTTCATTTCTAGTTTATATAAGTTATAACTCAATAAAAGAAAGAAATATATGATTATTGTTGACATTGAACTTGAGAAGTAGCCACTCCAGTGCCCTCTGTCCAAGGAGGCACTTGAACCTGAACACAGGTAGGACAGACTCTCAGGACAGGGGCACTGGACTGATATCGGAAAGTCTGCCCAGGGATGCCTGTGTTATGGAAAACCCCAGAAACATGGGAGATGGTCATGGTCTGGCCTGTGATCCTACTACTTTTACTGCTTTTCTTGCCTCTTTTTGAGAGCCCTTGACCAATGGGCAACAAAATATCCACACAGAAAATAACCCGAGTCCTGGCAAGGCCACTGAGTCTCAGGAACAAACTTATCCTTACTGAGGAAGGCTTATCTTCCCTACTTCCTGGCATCTACAACAAGCAGCAGCTGAGTACACAGGGTCATGGAATTGTCACAGGCTAGGTGTGGAATGGGTGTTCTCTCCCTCTCTCTTTTCTCTCTCATCTCTTTAGCTCTCTGAGTACAAGTCTCTGTAACTCTCTCTGCCATATAGGACACACCCAAGATTCTACACATTCTTTCCCAGATTCCTGACAGCTGTCAGAGGCTGCTCAGAGACCTGAGCAATCCTTATCTCCTCCCCATGTGCACATGTGATTAGACACTTCACATTATGAATCCTCAGAAATGTTGTTTGTGTTTTTAATAGAAAAGCGTGGCTCTTGGGAGGTTTGCCTTTAGGTGTGGTTGTGAGGCTAGAGTGGCCAGGGCCTAACTAATGGAGTGCACACAGGAGGTGTCCTCTCCTGGAGCTCTCACCGGGCTGCTTCCTGTTCTTCTCCTCAGGAGGCGGTTTCACATTGCCCAGAAGAAGACCAATTGGCTCGAATCCAAAATGTTATCCAGGAGCTTCCTCCATCCCATTATAGGTAAGAGTCCTCGGTAAGATTAATTTGTGGCCTCTTAATTTGGTGATACTAAAGATGCAGTCTGGCATCAAAAAAGGGAGTAAATTCAGTGGACAGTGGCTTTGCTTTCTTGTGCAATTCAAGGTTGGTGAACAGGTCAGTGTTATTGGTGAGACTTGGTGCCTGACCAGGGACATTGGCGGGGGGTGGGGGGCAGCCCATTTCCATGTCATTTGCAAGGTACCCCTCACAGTTCACAGGAAGTCATTCCTACACATTAGCCAGTCTCATGATGACATCCTGTGGTACTTGGTTCTTCTACAAATATGTAGAAGAACCAAATCTATAGAAACCAAGGTACCTTTTAAACAGGTTTTGATAGTAGCTCTTGAGTGTGTAGCTAGCTGTCTGATCTCTCTGCTTACTTATCTGTACCATCCCTTATATCATCTCCATCCTCTCACTTCATTCTCATGTTTTAGCCCCTAATTTTACCATCCATTTCAGTGTTCCCTATGTCTGCCCATTTCATAAAAGGGGGCAGATTTTGATATGGCATAAAAATAAAATAAGAAAAGCTAATAATAGAGAAACAAAAACCAAAACCAAAACCCAGCTCACTGCCATCAAGTCAATTCTGACTCATAGTGACCTTCTTTGGGTTTCTGAGGTGGTAGTACGGAATCTATGGAAGTAGATTGCCCAGTCTTCCTTCCTCAGAGTGGCTGATGAGTTTGAGCCACCAACCTCTGATTAGCAGTCAAATAATAGATACTATTCAACAAATACAATAAGCTTCCTTAAGAACAGGGCTTTGAACCAGTTTGAGCCAGTTCAGTCGAGGCCAGTGATATGAAATCAGAACAGACCCAAGTTTTTAAAATTTGGATGAAGCAGAAAGATAACTGGAATAGGTTGAAACCCTGAAATGGGAGACTCAGAAGAAGCATAGTGAGCCCTTTCAGGAGCCTTATGCAGGAGATTGGATTGTTGACGGGACTGTGGAGTGTGACACATTCAAAGTGGTATGCTCAGCTTCCGTCTTTGAGCAGGGCACCACTGTTTCTGACTCTGCAGGTCAAGAGATTTGGTAGCACACATAGCCCTTGTTTTCTAAAAGGGAAATTAATTTCTAGCAGGACATTGACCTGTAATTTTTCCCATTCTGGTGATAGTTCTGGTTCACTCACATTTTACAAGTTCAGGTTGTTATCAGTTTTGCTTTGTTAGCCATGACTGAATTGGCAAGAACCAGTTCAAAGCCCTGCTTGAGAAATACCAAGTTCGTTGTGGCTGGACCAAACTAAATCAAAGCTATGGATGTTGAGTCGGATTCTGACTCATAGAAATCTTATAGGAAAGATTAGAACTGCCCCATAGGGTTTCCAAGGCTGTAAATCTTTACAGAAGCAGACCCCATAGAGTAGATGGAAGGTTTGAACCACAGACCTTTTGGTTAGCAGGCAAGCACTTAACCAGTATGCCACCAGGGCTCCTTTATAGGTGGAAGCATTCAAAAAAAGAGCCTAGATGAGAACTTATTTAAAAATTGTATGGAGGTGATTATGCCTTGGGTGGAAAGAGAAACAGGTGGCCTCTAAGAACGCTCAGGGTCTAAGGTGCTGTGATTCCCTGATTCTACACTTGGCTGGTGCTCCATGGACTTTCGCTAACTTTTGACGAGATCATCTTCCTTTCCCACCCTGAGCCAGCATGCCTAGGACCAAGAAAATTACTTCCATTAACCTTGATATCTTCTTCATATTTCTCCAAAATTCACGACATACTATTTGAGAGTTTCTTAAATCCAAACTTAGGGGATTATCTCCAGATGTCAGGATTTATAAAGGCACTAAAGTTTCTTACTTTGTCCAAAAAAAAAAATGAACATTACAGGACCTTGGAATACCTGATTCGACACCTGGCCCACATCGCCTCTTTCAGCAGCAAGACCAACATGCATGCCAGGAATCTGGCCCTAGTGTGGGCTCCAAATCTCCTCAGGTAATTGCTACACCTTCACTTCTCATCATCCCAGTAGGCTTCAAGCACTTACAGATGAAGCAAACACTGGGTTCTTCAAACTTGAAGCCCCTTTAAACAAACCTGTAGCTAAGTGGTTGTTTGTATTATGTATGAATCAAAGATGCTTTTAGTAGCCTAAGCTCTTCACCTGCTAATACGGAAATTTTATGTTCCAGTGGGTTCTCCGGCTACAACTGGGATGTGACTAAGATTATGGGTCCTTATGTTACAATTTCTTAAAAAGGCCTTTCTTGCCTTTGGGGTTCATTGGCTCTTCTTGATTTTGGTGGGGTCAAACCTGGCTATAACCTGAATCAACTTCTTCATGTGCCTTCATAAATGATGACCTGCCCCATGAAACAGTTGGGTGGGGCAGGAAAGAGAGCCTATAAGGAAAAAAAAAATCAATTTCTATGTATTCACCAACATACCATTTATAACATAGTAGGACTGAGGAAGAGAAAGACATAGAGAGGTACATGGGAAATAAAGACAACAAACATGAACCCGTTTGCATGTACAGTACTGCATTGTCAGTGACAGCAAGCGTTGCTCTATGGGTGGATAGATGGAAGGACAGGCTGAATGATCAGATATGTCTAGGCAAGGGGGAGTATGCCCATGACCATGTATAGGGTTAGCAGACAATGTTTCTACATACGTATTTGTATGTGCTGTAAGAATGTCTGGGTATATAGTAGATCTAACAAGGGGCAAATATGTGGTGGCTTCTTGGCCATAGCCAGCTATCTAGAGGGAGGGAGTACTTGGATCTGTGGGCTCGAGACCATGGTCACAGGGGACATTAAGCTCCATTGGCATAACATGGTACACAAAACATTGTTCTACATCCTACTTTGGTGAGTAGCGACTGAGGTCTTAAAAGCTTGCAAACAGCCATCTAGATGCAATGATGGGTCTCTCTTCATCCAGAGCAAAGAACTATGAAGAAAACCAAAGATGTATGAAAACAGTTAGTCCAAGGGACTGGTAAACCATGAGATCCTCAGCCTATATGACATGACCATGAGACCAGAAGAACTAGATGGTGCCTGGTTACCACTGTCAGCCATTCAGAGGGGCATCTATGTAGGAGATCCTGGATAGAGTGGGAGAACGATGTAGAACAAAATTCAAAATCATAAAAAAAAAACAGGTTTGCTGGTCTGATAGAGCCTGGTGAGACCCCTGAGACTGTGGACCCTAGTTACGTTTCAGGTCTAGAACTGAACTCAATCCTGTAACTTCCAGCCAAACTAGACAGCCATATGGGGTGAACATTTACATCAAGTAGGTACACTCCTTGGTGCAATGAATCATGGGAGAAGGGCAGTGTTTGCACAGGGAGACAGCTCGGTAGATAAGAGTCCATGGGAGGGAAGGACACAGGGAAGAGGTAACTGGGGAGGTAGTGGGAAGAAAGCTATTAGATTATGGGGAATTACAGTCAATGTCATGAGACAAAATGTGTATGAATTACTATATGGAAAATTAATTTGCTCTGTGAACTTTCATCTAAATCACAATAAAAATTTTAAAAAATAAAGTAGGGATGATATCACCCATCTTATCTAACATAAATAAATAAATAAATAAATAGCATTTATATTTTTGCGAAGGGCCTGTATATAATGTGTAGTAAATGTTTCAGATTTGTTCAGTGTGCTGGGTTTCACAGCCTTTGTAGAGGCCTTTTAAACCACAACAAACCAAACCAACTGCCATTGAGTCAATACTGATTCATGGTGACCCTATGTATTATAGAGCAGAACTTGTTTTAGGATTTTCTTGGCTATAATCTTTACAGATGTGGATTGCCAGGCCTTCTGTGGTGTTTTTGGGTGGGTCAAACTGCCACCCTTTAGGTTAGTAAACAATTTGTGTCACCCAGAGGCCTGCATAGTCCTTTTAATTGGTCTTAAATATAATTGAAATATTCTACAGAGGAACAATCTGCATAGTTTAGGAGATGGGGCTCATACGGAAGGCCCACTTATTCCCCTTACTGCTTCAGGTTGTAGGGCACAGTTGTTCACTGAATGTGTTTCTCCCATGATTTAGGTCTAAAGAAATTGAAGCCACAGGTTGCAATGGAGATGCAGCCTTCCTTGCAGTCCGAGTTCAGCAGGTGGTGATTGAATTCATCTTGAACCATGTGGATCAAATCTTTAACAACAATGCAGCTGGCTCTCTGGAGAATAACGGTAATGGACCTTCCTGGCACCAATAGCCCATCTTCTTTCTTGCGCTGGTTACGGGGCCTAAGAGTAGGGTGGGCTTGGCTCTGGCTTTGAGTGCTGATTGTGCTTGTGGCTGATTACTTCATATGTCAGTGCTGTGGATCATGAATATATATGTCTGTATGTGTGTAGCAAAGGTGTGGTGTGTTTGTGTGTGGCTTTAATGTGTTTCTGATCAGTGCGTATGTTGTTGTTATGTGCTGTTGAGTTGGACCCGACTCATAGCGACCCCTCCTGGGGTTTCCGAGGTGGTATCACTGTGGAAGTAGATTGCCCAACCTTCCTTCCAAGGATCAGTGCATATATGGCCTACAAGAAAGCCAAAACCAAACTCACTGATGTCGAGTGTATCTGACTCATAGTGACCCCTCCTTGGGTTTCCAAGGTAGTATCACTGTAAAAGTAGATCACCCAATCTTCCAAGGAGTGGCTGGTGAGTTTGAACTGGCAGCCTTCTGGTTAGTAGTCAAATGCCTTAGGCACTGTGCCACCAGAGCTCCCATACATGGCCTACCCCATGGATATGGCATGGTGAACTGGAATAATGTTCTATTGATCTTGGTGAGTTCTTAAGCTCTGAGTAGTTATGTAGAGGCACTGTCAACATTCCTTTCCTTAACTACTAGATTTTATTTTTATTTTCAATATGGTATTTCAGGTAACTCTCTGCCTTCATTTTGAAGTGTCAAGTGAACGAGTTCAGAGGCAGCAAATTTATGTGCACATGTATATTCAGAATACATTGTTTTCACGGGTGTTTATTGAGTGCTTACTTTGTTCTGTTCTGCACCAGGCACTTAAAAAAAAAAAAACAACAACACTGCCACTGAGTCAATTCTGACTCATAATGACCCCTATTGGGTTTCCAAGGCTGTAAATATTTACAGAGGCAGATTGCCTCATCTTCCTCCAACAGAGTAGTTGGTGGCACTGAGAATATAAAAATGAGTGTGTGTTATATGTTTATGATGAGTAGTGAGCATTATTATAACTATAGCCATATTGTAAGGAGCCCTGATAGTGCAGTGTTAAGCTTTTGGCTGCTGACTGAAAGATTAGCAGTTTGAATCCACCAGCCACTCTGGGAAGAGAGATATGGCAGTCTGCTTTTTTTAAAAATGCATTTTATTGATACATAAGTTATGTACAGTGAAATACACAAAACTAAAGTGACATGGGTCAATGCTTTTTTTTTTTTTTGGCATTGTTCCGTCCCCTCCCCTCCTACCCCTGGCAACCAACAACAGAAAGTTTCCCTCCATATATAAACCTTTCCTTGACCCGCCACAACAAAAAACTAATGCTATATTTGTCCTTCTGTGATTGACTTATTTCACTCAGCATAATGTCCTCCAAGCTCATCCATATTATGCAGTGTTCTGCAGACTCTACATTATTCTTTAGGGCTGCATAGCATTCCGTTATGTGTATATACCATAGTTTGGTCATCTACTCTTCCACTATAAATCTTAGAAATAAGTCCCTTGCCAGGTATATAATTATCGGCAAATATGAATTTGTTGCTGTCATTTTTGTTATATGCTTTTTTGTGGTATTGATTTCTTTGTTCCATATAATTTTCTATGCTGAGCTCATTTTGTTTATGAATCATGTTATCACTTCCTTCATTGCTATTGTTTTGGTATTTACTAAATATATATGCTTTTTTTTTTTTTTTAATGTGAAGGTTTATCATTTTTTCTTTGAGGTTACCCTGTGATTTATAGTTTTCTTCCCAAGTTTAGAACAATCCATTCTATCTTGTAGTTGTCTTGACTTCCCTACCATCTAGAAGTTCTATAACTAGAACTTCCTCTTTTTGGTTTGTAGTTGTCCTCATTTGTCATTTGGTGTCTCTGCCTCCCTGTTTATAATCTTGTAGTCTTATTTACTTTGGATACTTCCATACCTGGGTTGGTTTCTGGGTTATGTCACCGTGTGTGTTAATGGTCAGTTGTTGGCTGTTGCTGCTTCTCTGTCCAAAGGGCTCCCTTAACATCTCTTGTAATGTTGGTCTGGTTTTACCAAATTCCCTTAATTTCTGCTTATCTGGAAATCTAATTTCACCATCATATTTGAGGGGCAGTTTTGCTGAGTACATAATTCTTGGTTGCAAGTTTTTCTCTTTCAGTGTTTTATATATACCATCCCAGTGTCTTCTTATCTGCATGGTTTCTGTCAAGAAATCCAAGCTTAGTCTTATTCGTTGCCCCTTGTAGGTAACTTTTTGTTTTTCCTGTGCTGCTCTTATGATTCTTTCTTTGTCCTTGGTTTTGGTGAGTTTGATGATGATATGTCTAGGTGATTTTCTTTTGGGGTCTATCCTGTTTGGGGTTTGTTGGACTTCCTGAATGGATATATTCTCATCTTTCATCATACTAGGAAAATTCTCTTCCAAACAATCTTTGACAGTTTTCTCTGTGGCATTATTTTTCTCCTCCTGTTCTGGAATTCCGATGACACATAGGTTATTCCTTTTGATGGTATCCCACATGAACTTTAGGCTTTCTTCATTTTGTTCTGATCTTTTTTCTGATTGATCACTTTCTAAAGCAGTATTGAGGGTATTTGCCTTCAATCTCACTAATTCTGTCTTCTATTGATTCAATTCTACTTCTTTGCCCATTCAATGTCTTATCTATTTCTGAGAATTTAGTATTAATCTTCTGGATTTCTGTGTATATTTTGTATTATTTCTAATTTTTCATTTATTTTGTCATTTTGTTCTTGTATTGTCTTTCAAAATTGTTCTAGGGTTTTCTCTGTGGTTTCCTTGATCTGTCTCTCAATTTGCTGAAGGTACCTAAATATAATTATTTTGAATTCCTTATCAGAGAGTTCCAATGCTGCATCTTCCTCAGGGATGTATTTTGGGTCAGTATCCTGATCCCTTGTTTCCCCTACTTTATCTTCCTTCTTTGTGTGGACTATGATGCTCTGTTGTCTCTGAGGCATTGTGACGTTTTTGTGTTTATATTCAATTGGTGATTATATGTTGGAGTGACTTGACCATGATTTTCATTTCCTTTGTTTTGTTTGTATGTTATCTATGCAAGCAGGGTACTATGCTCCTCTATTCACTAGTTGACAGCACTTATACACCCACCACCTGTCTCCTTTCTTGTTGTCAGCCTCTTGTATGTCCCTGCCAACCTTAGCAAACAGCCTGTTCTTAGGTCCCTGGAATCCAAATGAGAATGCTTTCACTTTAAAATCCAAAATGGCCACCACTTGTAAACATTCAAAATGGCTGCATCCTCAGTCATTTTAAATATCCAAAATGGCTGCCACATATAAACAATCAAAATGGCTGTACTCTCCAGACAGCAGAAAGTCAATGACTCAGGTTGTCTCCCTCCTTGCTGTTTCCCTTCCTAGTCATAGGCCACCAGCGCAGTTGTCCCTGCAGCCCTTGGTGACCAGGGCTGATCTTTAGGTCAATTCTCAGGTCCCAACCCCACTTGGAAATATTCAGGTTGTTTGTCCCATTAGAGTACAGCTGACAGTCCTTCTCTGTACTCACTGTTTTCATTCAGGTTTTTCCACTAGTTGGCGCCTAATCTACTTATTTATGGTTCCTTGCAAAGCTCAGGGCTCCAGGATTGTGTTCTGTATCTCTGTCAACTGGTTTTTCTTTTCTTTGTTGAAGAGGGTCTGTGTCGCTTGTCTGCCTATTCCTCAATCTTAGCAGAAGTCAGCAGTCTGCTTCTTAAAGATTCATAGACTTGGTAAATGGATCAGTTCTGCTCTGTCCTTTATGTCAGTGTGAGTCAGAACAGACTCATATGGCAGTGAAAGACATATTGCTGAGAAAGAAATAACTATTTCAGGCAGGATGTTATGGGATGATTGTTTAATTTTGTAGGGCTCATAAATAAGCCCTGGTAGCACAGTGGTTAAAGCCCTCGACTGCTAACCAAAAGGTCAGCAGTTTGAACCTACCAGCCACTCCACAGGAGAAAGATGTGGCAATCTGCTTCTATAAAGATTTATAACCTTGGAAACTCTATGAGGGAGTTCTGCTCTGTTCTGTAGTGACACTGTGAGTCAGAATCAACTTGATGACAGTGGGTTTGGTAGGTCTCATATGGACTTAATGGCTCCATGAATGAACTGGTTTATGCTGCTTGCATACACATAGGCCCAATTTGCAAAAACCAGAAATCCAGTTATCAATAATCCTGGCACCTACCATTTGTGTATGACAATGGCTCCCCAATGTTAGCATGCATTAGAATTACCGAGTGACCTTCCTAAAGCATAGTTATTGGACCTTATCCACGGTTTATGATTCAGTAAGTCTGTAGTGTGACTGATAATTTGCATTTCTAATAAGTTTCTGGGTGATGCTGATGCCACTGGTTTAGGGTGTACTCTCGGAGAACCGGAGAACCATTGGTATATGAGAACCATATCAGCAAAATATTTACATTAGCTAATCAAAGCATTCTTTTCCAGCTCAGGTAACATATTTGGAAAAAACAAGTGTAATCATTGAATAATCAATTGCAGTCAACAATATTTCAATTCCTGATGTAATTGTTCCCACCCTTATCCTGTCCTCTAAGTAGTATATAACTTTTATTTTATTCTTTATATTAACTCTCCCGTTATAAATGTATTGTAAGCTATATGAAACTCTTTTTGGGAGTAAGTGAAAAGTGATATGTACTCATTCATTTGTCTTTTTGAGATAACAATTTAATGGAGGCTCACTCTCTGCCAAAAACTGTTCCAGGTATTCTACATACATCATCCCATTGACTTATCACAACAATCATCATACAGTTTTTTATCAATGTTATCTAGATGATGGACCAGAGAACCAGAAAAGCTTAGTAACAACTCAAGGTCACATAGCTAGTAACTGATGAGACTGAATGTTGAACCCAAATCCTTCAGCCTATGGTTGTTTTTTTTTGTTTTGTTTTGTTTTTTAATTCTAGGCTGCCTCTGTGAGGGGG